CGGGGCTGCCGTAGCTTAGCGCTTGAGGAAGCGTTATTTAGGTCACCGACCTTTCGTTTTATACTTAGAACAATTATGAGTTAGCGGATCGCAATCCACTTCCTTCAAGAGTAATTATTGCCTTCCCAAGGCTAATTGACTCTTCGGTTCAAAATCCAAAACTGTTTTTTATTTATTTATTATCCTAATTTTAAAAGTTTGAATTTTTCTAGATATAGTAAAATCTAAATACATGCATAGCTACTGGCTACCTAGCCACATACCATTTTCTTGTTTGGGTGCAGTCACACCACGCACATCTCGTGTGACACACGCCCCTGTTACCAGGGTACGTGTAACCCCGTTACAAAGCTGCTATGTGCTCTTCCAGAAGGCATTTTGCCTTTCTAATGCAATGTGTTTCACCTATGTTTTGGCCGCCTTGTTTGCCATAAGCAGCATACCACAAGCTAGCTCGTTCTAGCGTCAGTGTAGCTTTGACTGCTTCACACGAATTAATGGTCCGACTCAATCTGATGATGCAAAGATTTTCAGCTTCTTTATAGCATGTTCATTTTTGGTCGGCTTATTGGTGTGATGAAAACCTTGTTTAATTGCCCCACTGACTTATTTATTGCGATGAAGCTTCTTCATATTGCGAAAAAACTTTCCTCGTTGAGATAGGTATAGAATATAGACGATTAGGCGTCTTTTCTCCAAATCTTCCAATGTTGGCCTCACACCATGGGAAACTGGGTCACTCTTGCATTGAAGAAAATGCGACTTGGTCTCGTGCTAAGTGTAGATCATAGAGACCACTTATATATAACGTTCTCATTATTTCCATATAAACTCATTTTTGATTTCGTTTCTATTTTCATATGACGTGAAATCCATATGAATTATTTTGGCTGAATTTATGATTAAGACTGATATAACGGCACTACTCTGCGCTACCTACAACCCCCATTACATACAGTGGATCGAATAGCTTCTGAGGGATCCTCTAAATGAGACGGTTAGCGAAGCCAAACAGGTTTGTTTAATTGCCTTATGGGCTGCGAGGTATGAACTACCGCAACCAATTTAAGACTGTGTCCACGATCGGAGCTGGCAACCACTATTGTGGGGTAATTTGATGAGTTCACCATAAATCTTTGCATCAAAGTCTAGAATGTAGGCAGCTTAAGCCGATCACATATGACTTTTGTTGTTTTTCGAGCAGCTAAGAATCCTCAGCAGAAACTTCACCAACGAGTGACTTTCCGTTCTCGTCAAGGCACCACGCCAATGACAGCAAATTGTTTTTACCTCCATTTTCTACAGACGTGCAGCTGTGATTCCATTGCTAGAGCTCGTTGAGGCGGTCACGGCTGGCTAGGTCCTTGCAAGCATGATAGTGTAAGAAGCATTTTTCAGCGATGTGGCATTGCTACCACAAAGCAAGAATTTGTAGATCGTAGTATGCTGGGTACAAGAGGACACGATTTTATTACCTTGAGCACGCGGCAGCATTCGTTTTATCCATTTGACAGGTTCGTTTGCTTTAGCTATAAGATGCGCTAAAAGTGCTCATGGGGTTCGTAAATAGACGACATTTCCAGCATCGAGAAAGACCAGATTTACTTCAACCCAGGAGCGCGTGAATTAGCTTAACGTCGGGTACTTGCACCAGCGAGAGGCCGAGATGGCTATGGCATCCGCATGCTCCAGAACGCGCAACATAGCATGGCGCTAGGTGCCGCACTTCGGCTGAAGCGGCATTTCCTCCTGGACGAAGCTGAAGTTGCAGCTTTTAAGAGTGTTCTCAACGTCTAACCAGGCATATCGCTTGCGATTGCGTTTCCTTGCCGCCCAACAGGGCAAGAAGGAATTGGTGGACTTTGGTCAAGAGTTGCGAACTCTCATTGCCGGGATGACAGCCGTCCCACCCCCGAGGCGGTCACAGTGACCGTATTTATGAAGGACCTCTGAACTGGCGTGGCCAGAATAGAAGTTTTCCTTGTGCATCCGTCATCTTTTGAAGATGCAGTACATGTGGCATTGAATGCCAAACTCAACTTTAAGTCAGAACGACTTGGATTAAATGATCACACTCAAGTCTCACCGAGTGAGCCTAGACCAATGGATCTCAGCTATGCTGAGAAAGAGGGGTAGAGCTTCGAGCTACCGGGCAGCGTGTAAGAACCCGCCGGTATTTTGTATGTGAAGACAATTGTTATCTTCGGACTGGTTGTGCCCTGCTCAAGGCGCGTCAAGGTTTATAAACCGACGTCTTGCTTCTTACCAGTCTTCTGGATTGTCACGGGGTAACGACAACACCCAGTAAGCGCGGGGCGCCCAACTGGGGAAGAACTGAGTTCTGTTGAGCCTCATAGAGGTAGAGGGCAGCAGGCCCTTTCCCCGAAAAGCTCTGTGCTCTTGAACACGGAACGTGTATGCAAGCCGGGCTTGCTGGTCATGAAAGCGGCCATGAAGGGCTTTGAGAAGCCACGAAAGATCCTTATCTACTCCGGGGTGTCGGGCATCCATGCTCGACGCTCCATGATAAAAGACAGTCAGCTGTACCCTGAGGCTTTGGAATCGCGGTTGAGTGACATCGTCACTGTTCGCTTAGCGGCGGGGATATGTGTCACGGTGCCGAAGGTCCCTGTGGATCTCGGTGTCAAATGACTTTACCTTGATAGCAAGGAACGCCGTATAGTCTACGACTTGGATTCAACGTATGACATCATTCTAGGTATGGCATGGTCGGAACACCATGATCCATAAATCGATTGGAGCTCAAAGACCCTGGGCGCTACGCGCACCGTCACCTGGTGGAGCTTTGGTGAGTCATGAGCCCACCTCTGCTAGATAGCAAAAGCGCTATTGGCGCGGAGACTGGGCCCGGACGGTCAATGTGCTGGATATCGGAGTATCCGAGTTGGCGAACACCGAATGTGTATTGCGCAGGAGTCCCGGGCATGGCTCGCGGGCTAAGCATGGAGTGGCACACACCCACTAAACACTGCTCAAGTATCAAAGCAGCTGCTTTAGCTAAGAGTGGCTTGTTCGGACGAGGTCAAAGGCATCGAAAGTGAGACAGTAGAGATGCGCGTGGAGTGGCACGTAATCCACTGAGCACCGCTCCCGGTTCGAAGCAGTTGCTGCATGCCATGAGTGGCATGGTCAGACGCGGTCCGAAGCATCCTGGGCAAGGCCCTTCAGATGTGCGTGGAGTGGCACGTTAATTACTAAACGAAGACTGCAGAAAAAAGCAGCTCTTAGTCGGATATTGTTGATAACATCAAGGCTCCGATGGAGCAGGGAGTGGAGCACTGGACGACGCCGAGTGCGTGTATCCACTGGTCTTGATGAGACGAAAAAATTTCTTTAGAGAGGAGACGGCAAAGCCGTATGTTATCTGCAAGACGCAGGACGTCGACCCTGGCCCAGGGTGTGTCTATCGTGGGCGATAGCGCACAGCTATACATTGTCGCCAACGGTATGACGGAGGAGGAAGACGGCGACATCACCTTTAAGGCCATTCCCGCGGTGGATGCTCTTCTTGAGCTGGACGAGACGTCCTTCGAAGAGTTCGGCGGTGCCTTGAAGGCAGGCCATTTATCCGAGTAGATCATTATACGACCGATCGAGGAGATTAACGCGTCGTCGCTTTCGGATGAAGCTGTCCTGGAGGACACAAAGAGGGTGCTAAACGCACGAAGTAGATCGTCGATCCTAAAGGATCCCTAGAATCCA